CCTCCCAGTCCCCCCAGCCCCATTCCCAGTCCGTCCCAGTTCCCTCCCAGTCCCTCCCAGTCCGTCCCAGTTCCCTCCCAGTCCGTCCCAGTCCATCCCAGTCCCTCCCAGTTCCCTCCCAGTTCCCTCCCAGTCCCTCCCAGTTCTCCCAGTCAGTCCCAGTTCCCTCCCAGTCCATCCCAGTTCCCTCCCAGTCCCTCCCAGTGCGTCCCAGTCCCTCCCAGTCCCTCCCAGTGCGTCCCAGTGCCCCAACGCACCCACGCTGGGGGACCAGGCGCCGTAGGCCGGGGTGGCGCCCTGGTTCCAGGGGGTCATGGCCGGGGACATCCCCCCCATGGGGCTGGGGGCCGAGCCGAAGAACATCCCGGTGGCTGCGGAGAGAGCGGGGTCAGCGCGCCCCAACACCGGGGGCACCCCAAAATACGGGGGACGTCAACATCGGGGGACATCGACATGTGGGGGACGTCAACAATGGGGGGACACCAACATCTGGGGGACATCAACATGTGGGAGACATTGACATCGGGGGGACATTGACATGTGGGGGACATCAACAATGGGGGACATCGACATGTGGGGGACATTGACATCGGGGGGACACCGACATGTGGGGGACATCAACAATGTGGGGACACCAACATCTGGGGGACATCGACATGTGGGGGATATTGACATCGGGGGGACACCAACATCTGGGAGATATCAACATCTGGGGGACATCAACATCGGGGGGATATCAACATCTGGGGGACATTGACATCTGGGGGACATTGACATGTGTGAGACATCAACATCTGGGGGACACCGACATCTGGGGGATATCAATATCTGGGGGATATCAACATCTGGGGGACACCGACATCTGGGGGACATCAATATCTGGGGGATATCAACATCTGGAGGACATTGACATCTGGGGAACATTGACATCTGGGGGCTATCAACATCGGGGGGACATTGACATGTGGGGGACATCAACATCTGGGAGATATCAACATCTGGGGGACACCAGGTGACCAGAGCTGGGACACGGTGGTGACCTGGGTGACATCGGGGGTCTTTGTGTCACCACCACCACCACAACCCTAACTCCTCCCTTGGAGGATCCACTCCTGGTGTACCCCAAAATCTGAGGCTGCCCCAATTGCCATGGGACACCCACAACTGGCCAATGACTACCACGACCTTGAAGGTCTCGGTGCCACCACCCTTGAGGTGTCCAAAGGTGTTCCTGGAGGAACCCAGCCACCGTTCCCAGGGATGTCCCCCCGTTTTCCTGGGGGTGTCCCAGATTTCCGGGGGGTGTCCCCGGGGTTCTGGGGACTCACAGCCGCCGACGCCGAGGCCGGGCAGGGCGCTGGGGATCTCCATGCCGTGCTTGCACTTCTCGGCGTCCAGCAGGAGGTCGAAGCAGCCGGTGCCGGCCGGGGCCAGCTGGCCCAGCATGATGTTCTCGGACACGCCCTTCATGGGGTCGCTCTCCCCGTGGGCAGCCGCCTCCATCAGGACGTCCACCTGAGCGAGGGGACACCCCGAAATCGGCCTCGGCCTTTGGACGTCCTCGCTGAACCCCAAATCCTGGGACGTGCCCGCAGGATCCCCCGTTCCCAGCTCCGAACCCCATTCCCACCCCAATTCCCATTCCCAGCCCCCCCAAACTCCATCCCCATCCCAATTCCCGTTCCCAGCCCCCCCAAACCCCATCCCCATCCCAATTCCCATTCCCAGCTCC